CAATCAATCTTCAAAATAGTTGAAGAGTAATTTTCTAAGTTAATTTTTTCAGCTCTAAAAAAAAAAGATGTCTCTGACATTTTGACCATTCAGTGTGTTCACAACATGAATGTCACTCAGAGGCCACTTTATTAGGTACACCTTGCTAGTACCGGGTTGGACCCCCTTTTGCCTTCAGAACTGCCTTAATTCTTTATGACATACTTTCAACAAGGTATTGGAAACATTCCTCAGAGACTTTGGTCCATATTGACATGATGGCATCACAAAATGCAAAAATGTACCTGGCAATAAATCTGATTCTTATTCTGAAAGATTCTGCAGATTTCATATCCATGATGTGAATCTCCCGTTTCACCACATCCCAAGGTGCTCTGTTGGATTGAGATCTGGTGACCATGGAGGCCATTGGAGTACAGTGAACTCATTGTCATGTTCAAGAAACCAGTTTGACATGATTTGAGTACCCATCAGAAGATGGGTACACTGTGGTCATAAAGGGATGTAAATGGTCAGCAACAATACTCAGGCAGGCTGTTGCATTCATACAATTACATTTATTCATTTGGCTGACGCTTTTATTCAAAGCGACTTACAATTGCTTTATATGTCAGTAGTTGCACGCCTCTTGAGCAACGAGGGGTTAAGTGTCTTGCTCAGGGACACAATGGTGGATGGGTCACAGTGGGGGATTAAACCCAGGTCTCTCACATCAAAGGCATAGTCTTATCCATTGCTCCACCGCCACAATGCTCAATTGGTACCAAGGGGCCCAAAATGTGCCAAGAAAATATCCTCCCCACCATTACACCACCACCACCACCACCAGCCTGAACCGCTGATACAAGGCAGGATGGATCCATGCTTTCATGTTGTTTATGCCAAATTCTGACCCTACCATCTGAATGTCACAGCTGAACTCGGGACTCATCAGACCTGTTGTTTTTCCAATCATCTATTGTCTAATTTTGGTGAACCTGTGCGAATTGTAGCCTCAGTTTTCAGTTCTTTGCTGACAGGAGCTGTGGTCTTCTGCTGCTGTAGCATATCTGGTTCAAGGTTCGTCGTGTTGTGCGTTCAGAGATGGTATTCTGCATACCTTGGTTGTAACGAGTGGATATTTGAGTTACTGTTGCCTTTCTGTCGTCTCGAGCCAGTCTGCCCACTCTCCTCTGACCTCTGACATCAACAAGGCTTTTTTGTCCACACAACTGCCACTCACTAGATATTTTCTCTTTTTGGACCATTCTCTGTAAATCCTAGAGATGGTTGTGCGTGAAAATCCCAGTAGACCAACAGTTTCTGAAATACTGAGACCAGCCAGTCTGGCACCAACAACCATGCCACGTTTAAAGTCACTTAAATCCCCTTTCTTCCCCATTCTGATGCTCTGTTTAAACTTCAGCAAGTTGTCTTGACCACGCCTAAATGCATTGAGTTGCTGCCATGTGATTGTCTGATTATCTATTTGTGTTAACAAGCAATTGAACAGGTGTACCTAATACAGTGGTAAGTGAGTGTATAACGAGAACTGGATACAGCTTCCCTGTTCATTCCTATGAAAGTTGCTCAGTGGCATGTGAAGCCAAAAAATCTCTACTTCCAGGTATAAAATTACCCAAATCTTACCTGGATCTGAATCTGTGTGGACCATGGACTTGCATTTCCTTTAACCCCTCTTTCCAACATGGCAGCGCAGTCCTCTGGCTTGGATGCGCGTTCATTATGCCTAGGAAAATAACTCTGTATTTAACGTTAATTTGACAACTTTTAGGGCATAATAATTTAAATAAGTTTAAGTGTTTGTACTGGAATGTACATATGTTGATGAACCTCAAACATTTATCTACTGATTTTACAGACATCTTTTTCACGATAAAAATACATGGAAAACGTCATTTTTGGCAAGTGTGCGTGACGTGACGGATCCAGAAGTCGTAATTACACGGTTTGGCTGCTATGCAAAATAGGCTTCAAAGGCTGGCGCACTTCCTGGGGGCTTGGTTCAGATCTGTTGTTTTAAAAGAGGAGAAGCATGATGGTAATAGTGTTTTGCAGGTGTAGCTGCTGTTGGGAGATATTTGAGTGTACTGATACTTACCTCAAGTGTCTTAACCCTATTCTTTTTATGTCCATTCTCTTTGATGCTTTGCTGATACTGTATCTGGCCTCAGGTGAGGATCAGTTGTCGCAGCCTTGACTGTCAATGTATGCTAGCCCCTGGCCAACATCATCATGTTTACAGAACATAGATGAGCACTGGTGGAGCAGACAAAGGAAGAAGGAATGACATCAACAGTGGCAATATGATAAAAAGAAACAAAGGTTGTGCGAGTTTAGAAAAGGGAGAACAAATATAATGTTCAAGATAAAAAGCCAGTGGGAGGGAGGAAGAAGGCAAAAGAGGTAATGTCAGCAAAAAAACAACAGGGGAGTCAAACAGAAGAGACAATAGAAAACTAATATGGAGCGGAGAGGGGATACTGACGATGAGAGATGGGACAGAATCAGTGTGTGGAGGGAGGAAAGGGTGAGGTCAAAGAGAAAGACACGAGCAGAGGTAAAGGGAATGTGGGAGGTGCGGAGGAGAGGTGGAGGGCAGTAAGTTGCTGACTGACTGCTGGAACAGGATGGGGAAGTGGTGAAGGAGGCCAGGAGAGCTGCTTCCATAGGTGGGTCTCTATGGGGCGCACACACACACACACACACACACACACACACACACACACACACACACACACACACAATGGAGCACATTATAAAAGTAAGACTCAATGTTGAATACAAACTTATGTTGAGTTTCCACAGCAGTGTTATTCTTCACAACGTTTCTTCCATTAATCAATGCAGTGCCAGTTTGAAGTGTGTGGACTTTATACCAGCAGTGGTGTCATTCCCTTCTGATTTATTCCCGAGTGATACGAGTGAACTGGCTAGTGTCTGGACGACTTCTCAAGTGGGGTTAAATGTGTGCCTGAGCTGAATTCAATAGCTGTGTGTGTGTGTGTGTGTTTATATTTTCGTGTGTGTGTTTATATTTTCATGTGCACGCGTGTGTGTGTTTATATTTTCGTGTGCCTATAAGTGTGCTGTGTTATCAAAAGGAGCAAAGGCTGAGTGCGGACAAGTAAGAAACTTAAGCATGTTCTCTGTGTGTGTTGGGGGGGGGGGGGTTGTTACCCTGGGTGAGTGGATCAGGTTTCAGCCTCAGCAGTCTCTCTCGTTTTCACTCTGACAGTAACACCGCACTGTGGAGAGGGAGGCCTCGTGAGGGGTAGCAGCTACATGAACTATATAGACGCCAACATACACACAAAATTTTTCACCTATGCTGACTTTATACTGCACTCATATTGATGACTGTTATACCTTAGTAAATTCATTAAAGGTTGAATATTTATTTTATGATTGGACACACATCCACAGGCATTTCATAGAAAGACATTAAGCTAATCAATATCAAAACAAACTGCAGGGATGACCTTCTGCCAAGTGCAAAGTACTGTAATACTACAGAGTATATTTTCATATAGTTTTCTGTTGAGTCAAAAGTCTGTTTTGGCATGAGACCAGCCAGCCCCTCTGTTTGAAAGTCAGGAGGTGTTTTAAAAGGTGTGTGTTGTTTTGATTAGAAAGCAGGCTAAAACATCTAAACCGATTTATCAGCCACTTCGTTCCAATTTTGATGAGCTACCAATTCATAACTTTAAAAAAAAATGACGTTGCTGATAAGTAAAGGCTCGTGCAGACTACACGAGTTTCAGCTCGGCCGATGACCATGCTGTTCACACTACACAACTTGCCGTCTTGTGACGGGAGTCTTGAAGTCATTATGATGTTCACACTACGTGACTGATCGGTGAAGGGGATCACACACTACACAAGCTGACAAGGGCTGTGTCACCTGACGGCTGGTCTCCAAACCAAGTTTTGTCAAGAAACCACATGTGAAATGTAAAACGGGAAATGACGAGAACCTACACATGAAACAGCTGTTGTTTGTTATTATAAAGATACCAATTATAAAGACAAAGAATCCAGGTGAAAGAATGGATTAGCACACTTAGGTAGCAGGGATTGACTGAGCTTCAGAGAGAGCTGGAGGTGAGTAAAAAGTGTTTTGCAGTTAAAAAGTAGCTGCCAGCTCTCATTGGCTGGATGTGTATGTCGAGTCGGCTGACTCCTCCAGATATTTGGCATGCTAGATATCTGGCTGGCGTCTGTGATGTGTCAGGGAGCTATTTTAGTGCTTCGTTGAGTAGTTCACACATAACGACTGGTGACCGCCGATCGATTGCTGATTTACCCCTGATCACACCCTGACTGTCGCCAAGCTCACCAACCGGCAAATCGGGCAAAAAATTGTGTAGCGTGAACAAGGCTTAAAGGAATAGTATAACATTTTAGGAAAATCCATCTACCAGCACCTCAAAAGCCCACTAATTGATCAATTAAGTCATTATATCTTAATCCACACAAAAGGTTCAAGGTTCAACTTTGTCCTTGAACCTTTTAGTAACCTAAACCTTCGGACAAGGCCAGGCTAAATGTTTCCCCCATTTCCAGTCTTTATGCAAAGCTAAGCTAATCAGCTGCTGCCTGTAGCTTCATACTTAACAGACATATGGGCTATGAGAATTGCATCGATCTAACTCCTTGTAAGAAAGTGAATAAGTGTTTATAAGTGTGTGTGAGGTGCTATTGCTCTGAGTTTTTTTGCAGCTTGAAGGTTTACAGTGAAGTTGTTAGTTGTTTAACTGGAGCTTGAGTTCTTCCTGTTGTGTGGCTGTTTTCCATAACCATGCTCTGCGATGCGCCTCTTGTCGACTTCCTCATCTTACTTACATTACCTGTTTTTCATATTCTCACCGTTTTTCTAATTTGGCATTTGTCACTTCTCTCCACCCCCATTCCCTTCATGCCCTTAATCCCTTCATATCAGACCTCATCTCATTCCGCTGAATCTCATCTCACGCTTTCTCTTTCCTCTGTCAAATCAGAACCGGAGGTGATTTCCAGCTACAGCAGAAGTGCCATGTCTGAGGCGGTGGTTCCAGATGCTATGGTGTCCCCAGCAATGGGTGGCCTGTACGGGGAGAAGACTGGCGGCCCCGTGGTGGACTTCAGTTACGTGGGCATTGACGCCATTCTGGAGCAGATGAGGAGGAAGGCCATGAAGCAGGGCTTTGAGCTCAACATTATGGTTGTGGGTAAGTAGCATATGTCTAGATTAGCTGAAGTTTCAGTTAGAATGTCCTGATTTACTTTGGGCTTGCATGAGGGTCAAACAGCACAGTTGCCTCACAGCAAGAAAGTTTTGTTTGAATCTTTGGGTGCTTACCCTTCTCTCACACACACTGAAAGACATGCATGTTGGGCATCAGAAATATTCTTGTTATTGCCTTTGACAAAGGCGCTTGTATTACAGTTTGGTGCTGCTTTGTTGGTGGCTACAGCTCCTGAATATAGTAGCATTGCTAAAAAAAATATCTCCATGAAGACCAATAAAATATAACTTAAATTTAGGGATTCTTGCTAATGGGTGGCTCTTAATGGACATTTTACATGTAGTATCAACCTGTTGCCATCACACTTAAATATGTGTTTATCTCAAATCATCTTCAGTCAGCTGTTATAACATGTGTCCTGTTAATCAGGTTTTCTCTTTAATCAAGTTTTGACATTGCACACAGTAGGACTTCGAAACTCTTTCCCCCAGAGCCCATCACTGATCAGAAACCTTAGACAAGAGCTAATCACACACACACACAAGTAGACAGGCCACCATAAAACCCAAACCACTTCCCTGCAGTATGTTTCCTCTAGATGATGTTGTGCCGGTTGTTCTGTGTTTCATGCAGGTTGCAGGTTTTCCTACTTACAAAGAATCTACAGGTCTGTAATTTTTATCATAGGTACACTTCAACTGTGAGAGACGGAATCTAAAACAAAAATCCAGAAAATCACATTGTATGATTTTTAAATAATTAATTTGCATTTTATTGCATGACATAAGTATTTGATACATCAGAAAAGCAGAACTTAATATTTGGTACAGAAACCTTTTTGTTTGCAATTACAGAGATCATACATTTCCTGTAGTTCTTGACTAGGTTTGCACACACTGCAGCACTGGCCCACTCCTCCATACAATGGGCAATACGGACTTTCAGTTCCCTCCAAAGATTTTCTATTGGGTTCAGATCTGGAGACTGGCAAGGCCACTCCTGGACCTTGAGATGCTTCTTACAGAGCCACTCCTTAGTTGCCCTGGCTGTGTGTTTCGGGTCGTTGTCATGCTGGAAGACTTGAAGACTCAGCCACGACCCATCTTCAATGCTCTTACTGAGGGAAGGAGGTTGTTGGCCAAGATCTTGCGATACATGGCCCCATCCATCCTCCCCTCAATACGGTGCAGTCGTCCTTTCCCCTTTGCAGAAAAGCATCCCCAAAGAATGATGTTTCCACCTCCATCCTTCACGGTTGGGATGGTGTTCTTGGGGTTGTACTCATCCTCCTTCTTTCTCCAAACATAGCGAGTAGAGTTTAGACCATAAAGCTCTATTTTTGTCTCATCAGACCACATGACCTTCTCCCATTCCTCCTCTGGATCATCCAGATGGTCACTGGCAAACTTCAGATGGGCCTGGACATGCGCTGGCTTGAGCAGGGAGACCTTGCCTGCGTTGGATTTTAATCCATGACGGCGTAGTGTGTTACTAATGGTTTTCTTTGAGACTGTGGTCCCAGCTCTCTTCAGGTCATTGACCAGGTCCTGCCGTGTAGTTCTGAGCTGATCCCTCACATTCCTCATGATCATTGATGCCCCACGAGGTGAGATCTTGCATGGAGCCCCAGACCGAGGGAGATTGACCGTCATCTTGAAATTCTTCCATTTTCTAATAATTGCACCAACAGTTGTTGCCTTGTCACCAAGCTGCCTGCCCATTGTCCTGTAGCCCATCCCAGCCTTGTGCAGGTCTACAATTTTATCCCTGATGTCCTTACACAGCTCTCTGGTCTTAGCCGTTGTGGAGAGGTTGGAGTCTGTGTGTGTGGACAGGTCTCTTTTATACAAGTAACGAGTTCAAACAGGTGCAGTTAATACAGGTAATTAGTGGAGAACAGGAGGGCTTCTTAAAGAACAACTTACTGTCTGTGAGAGCCGGAAATCTTACTAGTTGGTAGGTGATCAAATACTTGTGTCATGCAATAAAATGCAAATTAATTATTTAAAAATCATACAATGTGATTTTTGTTTTAGATTCCGTCTCTCACAGTTGAAGTGTACCTATAATAAAAATTACAGACCTGTAGATGCTTTGTAAGTAGGAAAACCTGCAAAATCAGCAGTGTATCAAATACTTGTTCTCCCCGCTGTATGACTAAGTGCTGTAGTTGCATGATGACACATTTTGCAAAAGATATTTTACTAGATAACTTTTTTTTTTTATCATCAATATTATGAATATATTTAATCACTTTTTGTTTGCTAACAATTTTTGTCTTGTGACCAGATTTATTTTATAACAGATTTAAAACAAATTCCGCTCTACATAAGCAAGCGTGGGACTTTGGCACCACATTGCTTTTGCAATTGTTGTTAGTGGGAAAACGGTGGACCAAGACACTTTGGGGAATACAGCTGTTACAGGAAGGCTGGAATCTGTGCCATCAATTCTGCCAAAGATTTGTAGTTAATAAAATGGAATTTTGCATGTAGTAATGATCAGTTCTTAAACATCCGAGTAAAGTATGAATTTCCTCCATTTAAAAACTGGAGCTGTTGGTTTCCATGCTGGTTGCATAGATCCATGTTAGCATGTGACATGTGCTGCTGACTGCCTGTACATGCAGTGTGCGTCTTAATAAATCAGTCATGGTCTCACTGTTGATTTAACCTGAAGTTGAACTGGGAATGTTTGCTGTCCTGTGGGCCCCCCCCTAACTCGTCTTCATTAACCATGGTGATGTTGGCATGATGTGCAGGGTCACAGATGCTCCCATCCATATAAACACAGATGGTTGATACTGACTGACAGACAAGGACTCTAACTCGCCGTCATCCTCAGTCCTCGTCTACATGGAGGGCGTTCTATCTGCTCTTAAATTCAAGACTCAGTTGTCATGTCCTTACAAGAAAACAGCAACCATTCATGTAAACCTATAGTTTAAAATTGTGTGAAAATAACGGAAGCATGAAACGCTTCATAAAATCTATTCTTTTTACTTATATCTCATTTCTGACGCAGTCATAATGTACATTGCATTACAATGTACAGAGGATTCACGGTCACATGGTGAACATTTATCTAAGTCTCCTGACTGTCTTAGGAAAGAAATTGTAAATCTAGACTCCAGTCTGTCTTATTGATGGTCTGTTTGGGTTTTAGTCATGCATACTGATGGCTTTGCTGAGTGTTTGTGGAGACGGACACCTGCAGCATGTCACTCCTTCAGCCCAACAACTGACAGCCTGAGTTTTAAACTGGCGTGGAAAATACTCATTGAATGTGTGTATGTGTTTTTCTCACTGCCTCTCTGACTGGGTTTTTGCTTACAGGACAGAGTGGCCTGGGAAAGTCTACTTTGATGAACACACTGTTCAAGTCTAAAGTCAGCCGTAAGTCAGCGCTGGCTATGACCCAGGAGAAGATCCCCAAAACAATCGAAATAAAGTCCATCAGTCATGGTATGACCTCCTTGAACCTCTCGACTCTTCTCTACTACTTTTGTATTTCTTCCCTTGTGTATTTACACTTTTTCCTTTGTCACCCATGGCTAAGTCTAACATACTTGTCTAGTCATTCCAAACAACATATACAGTACCTTATCCATCTTTTTTAATTTTAATTATCTTTAATAACCTTAATCATGGCTGAAACAGTCTGTAAATCTTCTGTTTTCTTAGCCTGACAAAATCAGCCCTGTTTCAAATTTGGCAGCTGTTTTGGTTCTCAAGATTTTCAGCAATTATCCCCTCCAATCTATTTCTGAATACATTTCAGGCAAGAAATAGTCAGTGTAACTGCAGAATACTGCTACTTTTACATCTACAATGCTTGGTTCAGTAGTTGTTTATAAAATATTTGAGACATAGTATACGGCCTGCTGGCTCTGGCTGACCTTGTGTGTGTGTTTCTTTGTGTGCAGACATCGAGGAGAAGGGAGTGAGAATGAAGCTGACGGTTATTGATACACCAGGCTTTGGGGATCAGATTAACAATGAGAACTGGTACGCTACACTTCTACCATTATTGTGTTGACTATATAAACGGCAAGATTTAAATTCTGTCTAACCAGATGCCTCTCTCTTTCTCCTTCCTTTTTCCTGTTGTCTTACTTTTCCTGTTCCTTTCCGTCTGTATCCTTATCTTCTTCCTGTCACTCTCTGCCACTACTACTTCCTCCTTTTACCCATCTACCTCTTCTCTTCGTTTCTACCTCTTTGTTTCTTTCTCCTTTCCTCTTTTCTGTCCATCTCTTCCCTTTCCTGTCCTCCTCCATCATTCCCTCAATCCATTCCTGCCATGGTCTAGCTGGCAGCCCATCATGAAGTTTATTAATGACCAGTACGAGGCGTACCTGCAAGAGGAGATAAACATCAACAGGAAGAAAAGGATTCCGGACTCCAGAGTCCACTGCTGCATATACTTCATCCCCCCGACCGGACACTGGTAAGGACACATGGTTAAATATAGACACGTGAGCACATACAAGTGCACTGCAATTGAGGTACACAGAAAAACACACTCATAGCAAAGAAAGCCTGAATACTAATTCTCCCAACACTAAACAACACTAAAATGAATCCGCACAGCCATCAGTCGCTCTTAGATTAGAAACGAAACAAGATGTTGGACACTTAAACGAGGAGAAGTTCAACATTTTGGGAAACACACCTTTTTGCTTTCTTGCCTTTTAGATGCGAGCATAGAAACCGCTGTCATGTCTGTAAGGTAAAGATCAAGCTACTGCTAGAAGCCAGGTAATTTAGCTTAAAGGTGCCCTGTGGAGTTGTTTTGTAAATAAACGTTAATAAACAAAGTTTTATTTCCATTGAGTGTTCCTCACTGGATTGCATTGTGTGTATCATTGAGGTCTAGCAAAAGTGTTGATCCTTTTTTCTCATTTGCAAAGCTGACGTTTTAAGGATTTTAAGTTCAGTATTGTTTAAATTCATGTTTACTAGCTTGCAATCTTCTTCTTTGCCTTTGTTGGCGCATTACAGCCACCTGTAGATCAGTGAAATAGTGGGGAAACCATTTGTAGGACTTTGTATCTTGTCACTTGTGTGCACGGGCGTCCTTTTTTTCCAGAAACTCCTCAGGGTACCTTTGTAATGTTGATGTAGAGACTGGAAACGGGGGGAAGCAGCTAGCCTGGTGCTGTCCAAAGGAAACAAAGTCTGCCTACTGTACCAGCCCACTCACTAATTAACACATTGTTTTTACACTGCTGGCAGCAGCTTCATGTTTAGTGCACAGATTCAAGAGTGGTTTTAATCTTCTCATCTAACTCTGGGCAAGAAAACAAATGAGTATACCTCCCCAAAAAATAGTGACTTTGATTATCAGTCAAATATTTTAATAACAAGGGTTGATTTGACCTTACTTGCCCTTAGGTGACAATACAATAAAATAAATCAATTGGAACTTCAACATCTGCCATTGTTACTGGCAGTAACAGTGTGTTAAGCATGTGCTAACAGATCATATATTCTTCTCAAGCTTTTTAGTGTGAAGTAATGTGAAACATCACTCTGCTTTCTTACCCCTCATACTGAACAAACCACACATGTCCCCACATATTTCCGCTCAGCACGATGCAGCATATCCCAGAACTCACACACACACACACACATGCACACACACGTTCGCTCACTCTCTCTGACACACTGGAAAGATGGGCTGCTCTCGCCAGGCCCTAAAGCAGCACAATGTCCCAAATTTCCCTCCCTGGATCTCTTACAGACACACACATCTGGCTTTGATTGATCTGCATAAACTGCCGTCCCTCTCCACACTGTGTTGGTTTCAGCCCCTCACTGTTTGGAGCTCAGGGTGTTGGGGAATACTCGTAGAAGAAATTAGGGGGAGGGTGCACACAGTCTCTTGTGTCCGTCAAGTGATAGATTCACAGCACATTTTATAGCTTTTGCATTTGTGTAACTCTAGTCGAGTGCAGTGTCCATTCTTGGGAAAATGTTGAAAGCAGCTGTGGATTGTCAGCCTTGAGTACACACTCAAAGACACACAGTTGACCATAGAGCGCCATTTAAGCGCTCCACTGCTATTCATTTTTGTGTCATGGCCTGTCTCTACTCAGGCAGAGGGTTGGTGTGAAATGGCCCCCTGTCTCTGTTCCCCATCCAGCGACGTTTCATGTTGATCCAACACTGCAGATGTCACATGGGCTGGCCAGCAGCTGCTGGGGGATTGCCTTAAAAAGTCTAATGGGAAAGAGGCAGGAAGGGCGAGAAGAGACAGAGAGTCTGTGTGGGTGTCTGGGAGCATGAAGTCAGTTTTGCACTTTTGTCTTTTTGAGTGCACTCTTGCATGAGTGCACAAGAGTCCTTGTTGACAATGGACAATCTTTGTCGAAGTGTTGTTAGCCAGGCCAGAATCCACTGCCGTAACCACATGCAGGTGCTTTTGTCAAACTGTGGGAAAGGTCTGAGCTCCTCAAACCGACCACATGTCCTTTAAACCTCATCAAACAGCTCTTCACACACATTGTCTAGTACAACAGTAGTGGGAACTGTAAATACTGTATGCTAGTAGGTGAAGTAGTTCCTCCATCTGGAAGAATTGTTAGGAACATCTGCCCTCTGGTGGAAGAGTTTTGTTACACATCCTTTGGCTTTCACATTCATGATTCTCTCTGTCTGTCTGTGTCTGTCTGTGTGTCTGTCTCTGTCTCTGTCTCTCTCTCTGTCTGTCTTTGTCTCTCTCTCTGCCCCCCCTCTCAGTCTGCGGCCTCTTGATGTAGAATTCATGAGACGTCTCAGTAAGGTGGTCAACATTGTCCCAGTCATTGCCAAGGCAGACACACTCACCCTAGAAGAGAGGGACTTCTTCAAAAAGAAGGTACTGTCTTTCTGGATCCATTTCCTCTTTATCTACATTTTAATCTTTTTGTCTCCATGCTTGTATTTTTTTCATGTTTGTGGTGCAGTAACTGGAGATAGTTCTGTGGTTTTCTCTGGTGGTTCATTCTTGTACTCTCCCCTCGCTCTCACAAAACATCCATTCCAGCAAGAGCATCTCTATCTTTCTATCCCACTCATTACCAGTTACTTTGAACATTTCCTACCTTTTGTATGTTTTTATTGGCAGCTTCTTCAAGGATCACAGGATTTCCTCTCTTCTCATTAGCAACAAGGAGGCTAAACCCTGGTTTATCTGTGCAGGCTCATGTGTGTTTGTACATGTGCATGACAGACTTGGTGTTTGCACAGGTTTTTGCGTCGTCATCCATCTTGAGGTTTTTGCGTTTTGTTTGTAGACAGACAGCGATTAATGACTAAGCCCAAAATTTTGGAGTAGATTATAAAGCAGATTAGTGTTAATACCAATTTTTAATCTGTACACTCTGTAGACTTGGGTACGTTTGTTTGATGTCTCTTAAAACAGCATCAGGCGTGTCTACCTAATTACTGCTGCAATTAAACACCTTAATTTGTATCCTTTCAAAACTGTAACGGGGTAAAAATAATTGCATTTCTCTGACCAGATCAGGGAAGAGCTGCGAGCCAATGGGATTGACGTGTACCCTCAGAAAGAATTTGACGAGGATGCCGAGGACCGAATGATTAACGAGAAGATCAGGGTGAGGGGATCATTTTCAGAACACCGACCCCTACAGAGATGTGTAGCAGGAGTCTATCCTCATCCTAAATCCATTCTGAATAAATGTTAGTGTACTAAACCTGAATAATTGGACTCCATTGTCTGTTAACCTGTGAGCAGGAGATGATTCCATTTGCTGTGGTGGGCAGCGACCAGGAGTACCAGGTCAATGGCAGGAGGCTTCTGGGGAGGAAGACCAAGTGGGGAACCATTGAAGGTACAACTCTGTCTCCCCTTCTTCAGTCTGTGTTCTCCCCTTTTTTATTCTATCTAAATTTGTTTTGAGTGACACTTTCAGGACAGAATTTGTCAGTGTGCACACAACTAACCTGTACGTGTTTTTTGTTTAGAAAACAAAATGGAGACGAGTAAAGACCTCAGTCAGTCAGTCAGTCAATACAACAATGCTCCATTCAGTTTTCAGATTGGTGTCGTGTGCCATGCAGCTGGCTTCGGCCTCTGGCAGACACAGTCTGTCTGGGGAGGTCTGATTAGTTTTCATGGTTCCCCCAGACCACACATCCCTTTTTGCTCCACAAAAGATACACTGTGGATGCTCACATAGGAAATAATATATGTTGAGGAGAGGAAAACATTATGGTTGTAGTTGTTTTTTGTTCTAATTTATAAAATCTAGTGAAAAACGTATAGTTATTGTGTGATTGTTTTTTGTTTTGCTTTATTTATGAGAATTAAACCTATTCAGCTTTATCATTTGGCCAACAGTTTTGTGATTTGTTAACATCCCTTCTTACCGCAGGCTTCATCTTTTTAATATTTAATTATGTCATCCACTCCAGACATGAGGCTCTACCCTGCCATCAAGTGTCTCATTAAGGAAGTTTAATTTCCTGCAGAGTGTGCTGTGCATACACACACACGTCTGGCAGGAATCTTTTGAGCAGTTACTCTTTCTACTCTCTCTTCAGTAGGACTCTATGTAGATTAGCAACAGATATCTGCATAGTGTTGAGACAACATACAGTATCTATGTCTCTGTAGGCACCTTGCACTCCAGATCACTGTCTCCACCTAGTGGACTGTTTAGGAAACCTTATAGCATCATGGCCCGCAGCTGCCAAACTGTCTTTTGGTGCTTTTTTCTCAGTCACAACTGTGGTTGCTTGTTTGAGCTTACTTTCAGGTATTTCTGATAACTAATAACTTTTCTTTCTCCTTTAGTTGAGAACATAGCCCACTGTGAGTTCGCGTATTTACGGGATCTCCTCATCAGGTGAGGGAATTTAATGTCTGTCTTACATTCTGTTTTCATGCAGCCTCGTGTTGCTGTGCCAGTTTGTTTAAAGATCCCTTCCAGACATGTTTTATGAAATATAAAAGTGTTCTGCTTTGAATAATAATTTGCATCTGAAATGGTTGTTCCACCTAGTTACCTAGTTAAAAAATCTTGAAAATTACACACATTCCTTCAACCCCATTAAAGAATCCAGAATTCAAATAAATATGCAAATACTTTTAATATCAAAATGTAACTGCTGGACAAGATGTCTCCTACTTCAGTGAAAAGTCCATTCTCAATGTATATGCACTGGAGGTTTTTAAAACTCTACATCACACGCAAGTTGGGTGTTGGACTGTGATTGGCTTCCAGACTAGGTTATCTTAAATCTAAATTTAAGATGTGTAGGAAGAACAGTTATTTCGTGATATCAAAGAGAAGTGTTAGAGAGTGTTATTTTTCAGTCTCTGCACATACATCATTCTGCACAGTCATCCAAGGGACATAACAATAAGCAAAACCCATTTTGAGTGGAGGGGGACTTTAGATGCTGGGCTCCCTTTTGTTGCCAGCGGTTTAGACATTAATGGCTGTGTGATGTGTTATTTTGAGGGGACAGCAAATTTACACTGTTATACAAGCTGTACACTCACTACTTTACATTGCAGCAAAGTGTCATTTCTTCAGTGTTGTCAAATGAAAAGATATAAACAAATGATATAAACAAATATTTACAAAAATGTGAGGGGTGTACTCACTTTTTTGAGATACTGATACGGGTGTATGTGTTTTTCTTTCAGGAGCCATATGCAGAACATTAAGGACATCACCAGCAGCATCCACTATGAAATGTATCGTGTGAGGCGTCTCAATGAGAATAACACGGTGGTGGCTCATGCTAACGGCATCCCAGAACATCATCTTGCCGCCCACGAGATGTAGACGCCACCTGCCTCACTGCAGTTGCCCTTAACTGGGTTTAATTCATTTGCAAAGAGACTTTGACCTTCAATGACAATGTCTTCCCACCACTCCAGCCCTCCACTCCATCCATCTTTATCTCACAGGTGGGATAGAAACTTAAAAGCCTACCATAGGGACTTTATTTTCAGTGACATTCGGCGGCCGTACGGACTGTTCATGTCAGTTTATTGCCTCATTAACAAATGCTATCCTCTCACTATGGCTGACAAAGACAGTGAAGAGAAGTTTGATTCTTTGTAATGTGCTGCAGCTTGATTTTTTTTTTTTACTTGCTTCCAGATCTTACAGTTAACCTCTGGTTTGTACTTGTGGTGCCAAACATTAGGCATCTGCCAAACAGAACGGACTGACGCTTAATATCTTTCATCGTCAGAACTGCCTTAATGAGCAACATGTTAATCTCGTCCACTCTTACTTTTTTCAAGTTTGATGGGGTTTTTTTTAGCAGTGCTTATACGAATTCATGTGGTAACAGAAGCACAGTTTTTATGCACACAGCTGTATCAACATATGTGAGTAGTGATGATATTCATTATTCAGTCTGTCATTGACAAGCATGTTGGAAGAGTGCTGGGCAGCACTTTGCCAACATGTGACTCTCATACTGTCACTCTTGTGAGTGTGATGCTGTGTCATTCAGCTCTCTGTCCATAGTTAAACAAAAAAGGTTATCAAATAGCACATCATATGTTTGAGTTTATCTTTTGTCACAAGTTGCTTTTTGCTTTAACTGTTTGTGTATGTTTAAACATGGATGTCAGGCCCTTAACATCTTTTTAAATTCCCAGTTATAAATGTCATTGTTTATTAATAGAAATATCTTAAGAGTGATTTAAGATGAATAAGTATTTATGCACGATTATAAAATGTGAAAGTCTTCAGTTGTGGTCCACTTATTCAGATTATATACACACACACACTCGCAGACACATAGATGCACTCACACACACCTTTCCTGCTTTTGGGCCCCTCATAGTGCCTTATTTATTGGAGAATGTTAGCATTTTGGCTGAAACTGGAAAGAGAGCAGCTTTGTTGGTGCCAAGTTGACTACATATAGACATTTTTTTTAAAATCCTTTTCCCTTGTTTATCTGGAAAAAGAAATCTAGCCTTCCAGCAAACCTTTTCTTCTATTTTCCATAATATACCAAGGATCTTTGTGTTTTGAAGCATATATAATTCCCTAAGCTGTCACTGTCATGCTCTGTCCTGTATATTCTTCTGTGTTCTGATGCATTTTTGTACTTGTATTATTGATAACAAATTTTCCTTTATCTTATTTTAAAGAAATAAAGATTAAAAGTTGTAAATATATACTTTCTTTTATTTATTTACAAAACGTATTCCCTTTTAAAACTTTAAAGATGGTTAAATTATATATACCCAGCCTGTAGAGGCGTTTATGATGGACAGCCAGATTGCGTGAATTCATCAACCCATATCCTCTGTATCCTCTGACTGTATTCACTGCTGCCACACTTTTGATAATTTTTTTCTACCGTAGCAATTAATCGCACGTGAAATTCACATACTGGAGCATTTTAATTGCCATGTCATTAAGCTTCTCCTTGATTAGCCTCTGAAATCAATATGGCCGCATGCTAGGTCAGTGCATGGCTGATTAGCACTAATTACTTGAATGCATAAGTGGGTGTTTTCTTCCTTAGTGAGAGAGATGGGAGAAGACGAGCCCTGGGTCCCAGACAAGGCCTCGGATCAGTGTGAGAATGTGCAGACATCAGCGACCTGAGGTACTGGAGCAGGAGAATGTAGACAGCTGACTAACTGATGTCAAGTTAAAACCTGGTGGAATTCACTCAAGGATGAATTAATAGAAATAGAATTGTCCAAACTTGGACGTGTTAGTCTTAGTTTCCAGGATGTTGACATTTTGGATGTACTCTTCTGCCTTGTTACTTTATCTGTAATTGTTGGCAAATGTGAAATCACTGATGTTGGTGAATTCAATGTTTGAAAGTCAAAAGGATTTGTTGAGTGTCTGGATGACTTGTGCACAAGAAAAAGGTTTCAGTCCATTTGAGAGGATTTTAAATTGAGATGAATTCAAATCCCCTCTTTAAGATAAAGCTCTAAAAACAAACTACAGCTTTGGGATATTTTCTCTGTTCTCAGGTGTTATATCCAGTCCATGTGTGCTGAAAACACAAAGCCCTGACTGATATCAGTACTGGGATGAAAAAGAAAGTGATGGTGATTTCATCTCATACTTGACAAAGAGAAAGCGAAATGCACTTTCACTGTACATGTGAATGTGAGAGAAACTGAACGGTTGGTGAAACGAAGAATACCATTTACTGATGCAACTAATGCCGTCATGTGACCTGACAAGTTCGCAATCAGCCTCTCAACTGTCTAAATGTAATGTAGGTTCGGTTTTTATTAATACCCATTTCCCACATGCAAAGCACTTCAAAATGGCGATTCGCTGCATCGCTCCTCAAAATGGCGTCTGCCGTGCCCCATCCTCTGCAGTATTAAGATGGCACATGGCGGCAACACCCACGGCCCCCGACTTTCTAGTAAACCCGTACGCTCAACTGAAAAGTTGAGACCCCCACATTGTCATATTCTGTTTCTCCAGCTCTCTCGGTCTCTCCTGGTAACAACCAGGAGAGAAGCAGCTGCATCTGCACTGGCCGTGGCTCGTCCCCTCCCTACATGCCACCCAGCAGTCGCCCTGTTGGCAGCCACCCAGCGCTTCACCGCCTGCCTTAATGACATTCATTAATGAGCTGCATTCTTTCTGGATACTAATGAAGTCAGGCAAATCAGACAGAGAGAACCTGTGTTGGTTAGCACAGTGTTTGTGTACGAGCACATGTGGAGTTGTAGTTGTATTCCAGGTTTTTATGTAATGCAGATTGTGGTGATACTGTATGTCTGCTTGAATGCCTTACATTACGTTATGTTTACATTTTAAACACTGAGTATATCAACTTGCGTGTATGCTCCAGATTGCACCACACCAGCTTTGCCACTCGGCTGCCAGATTGCACTGCAGATGGATGTTATCCATCCTCACACAATATTACTAGATTGACAGACTGACCATTCTACTAGGCAATATGAGATGGATATTGATAGAGGCTTGCGTATTGGCCAGACCTGGTACAAAAAATGTGAGACTGTGTGACTGCATGAATATGCAAGAGGTGGTTACAGTGGTGTAGCAGTACATTTGGGGGAGGGTAGTGCTTGGGTTTGAATTACTAATATCTAATGCTAAATTAGAAGTCGAGTTTTGTAAACATTTCATATTTTTGGCTCATCATACACTAACATGAGTTGTGTGCTTTCTTGCGTCGTACGTCTATATGAAGCTGCCTAGGTGTTACTTGACAAGTGCGCTACATTGCACCTCATTGCCTTATCGTGTTATTAAGTCTGCCCAGCTCATCTTCATAGATCCAGTGTGGCACCAATTAACACCTGTTTGTAAGACGAGTATAGCTATTAGCTAACTTGATTGCAAATCTGTGGAGAAATTTGTGCCTGTGTGTTTGCATGCGCGTTTGTGATCATGTTGTGCATACATTTGTTTTTTGTGTATGTATATGCGTGTAACTGTGTATGTGCACATCTACCTCGCTTACTCCCCCGTTTGTTGTTGTTGTTGTTTGCCCCCATTTGTCTCCTTCCCCCATCTGCTGTTTCTCTTCTCCTTTTTGGCAGACACCTCACCTTCTCCTCCTCCATCCGTCCCTTCCTCCTGCCTTATTTCTCTCTCTGTCAGTTTCCAGCCCCGCTCTTGGCTCTATGCCAGGTACTCAGACATGTAGGGGGAGGAGGGGCTGCCGACCATATGCAAATGATCCGACTTTATGCTAATCGCCCCCGCTGTTAATTAAAAGTCGGCTGCAAATTCAATTAGCCGACTGAACAGAGAGGGAGGAAACAGGTTTGCTTGGATCAATGTGAGCGGGTTTGGAAGAAAAGATTCCCAAAACATTGTGTGAGTGGAGATTCCAAAAACAAAGAAATCACGGCTGGGGGGGCAAAGGGTCTATGAATTCTAAGCGATGCCAGTCGCTAGTCCTAATAAGAATACAGGAGTGTGCAGCTCTCTACAAAACACTGGCATGCTGGTTGACATACACACTGCTAGCACTTGAGAGAGAAAGATCCAGACAGAGGAAGAGAGAGGTGAGACAGAGAGAGAGAAGAGCATCGTTGATAGCTCCTGCCTCTGGCTAATTACTGTAAGTAATTAAACTAGTCTCAAATTTATGTCGGCGGAGCGAGCGTGTGAATGTATGCGTACTTTGTAACTGTGCATGCGTATCCATGGAATGGATATACTGTTTGCCTGTGAATCTGTAGGCTTTTTGAATTTTGGTCTCTTATCTGCTGCCCTCTAAATGTGGTGGACACCTTAATCCAAAGCATTCTGTACTACACAGAACTACTGAACTACACAGACTAGAATGGGAAACATCTGGAGTGATGGCATCACATGGCAATGCAACTACACCCAGCCTGCTGAATGTCTCAGTGATCTTCATAAGTTAAACTGGTGTCACGGTGGCACCCCCAACAATCTCCAGATAGATATGCTCAGGCAGAAGACTGAGACGACACGTACAATTTCTACTACTGGGATATAAGGGAAGATGGGGTGAAGGTTGAAGATGGGTGGTAGAGATCTGCTCATGGCACGCTGCCAGCAGAGTTGATTGATGGGAGTGGGTTTGGGATGAACAGAGCAGAAGAGATAAGAATAGATGTGAAGAAAAAAAGGGATGGGGAGAGAAGAGGGGACCGAAATTGGCACTGTAAGAGGAGGTGAGAAGATTGAAAGGTAATCTGTTGGATAGACGGATGCAGAGAAGAGATGGAGGAGGAGACAGAGTGTGTCTTACTGGGGAATTTCCTTTCTGTTAACAGAGGAAGATGAAGTCCTTGTAGTGAAGTGAGTAACTCAATACTTCCCATAATTGTGTCAATGGATAGTTCCTGCACTAGCTTGTCCTCCAGAGGACTCCCAATCAATACGCTTCTCAAGTCCTGCTGTATTCATTACAAACGTGTATTTTCACACTGAATCATGTTTTATTTTGGCCACACGCTTCTTTCACTATGCAGGTGTGCTTTTTAGCAAATTGGTACTCCACCCAAAATCTGCTTTTGAGTGTTAAAACAGACCCCCTGTAGACTTGTAAGGGTGTAAAAGGATTATACACTGAACAAAATAATAATCGCAACACTTTTGTTTTTGCCCCCATTCATCATGAGCTGAACTCAAAGATCTTAGACTTTCTCTATGTACACAAAAGGCCTATTTCTCTTAATATTGTTCACAAATCTGTCAATCTGTGTTAGTGAGCACTTCTCCTTTACTGAGATAATCCATCCACCTCACAGGTGTGGCATATCAAAATGATGATCAGACAGCATGGGTATTGCACAGGTGTGTCTTAGGCTGGCCAAATTCTCTGAAACGCCTTTGGAGATGGCTTATGGTAGAGAAATGAACATTCAATTCACATGCAACAGCTCTGGTGGACATTCCTGCAGTCAGCATGCCAATTGTACGCTCCCTCAAAACTTGCGACATCTGTGACATTGTGCTGTGTGATGGAACTGCACATTTTCGAGTGGCCTTTTATTGTGGCCAGGCTAAGGAACACCTGTGCAATACCCATGCTGTCTGATCAGCATCTTGATGCCACCTGTGAGGTGGTGGATTATCTCGGCAAAGGAGAAGTGCTCACTAGAGCCCCTTTTCCACTGCACAGTACCGGCTTGACTCACCTCAACTCTACCCGCCTTTGTTTGGTTTTCCATTATGGAAAAGTTGTACTTGTACCTGCTAACAGATACTTTTTTTTCGCATCACCTACGTCGAGGTGCCAAGCGGTTCCAAGTGAGCTGAGGCGATACTAAAATGTGACGTGAAAACACTGCAGACTACAGAAAGTGTTATATTTTACAATGTTCGTACTTTAAATCCACTTCTGAGAAGTTTTGAGGTGAGAAATCAACTGTGTAGATTTCGAGTATTGACAGTTTTACACGAAGTGATGGTAAGTACTGGTAATGGAAAAGTGGCTTAACAGATTTTGAGAGATTTGTGAACAATATTTGAGAGAAATAGGCCTTTTGTGTACATAGAGAAAGTCTTAGATCTTTGGGTTCAGCTCATGATGAATAGTGGCAAAAACAAGTATTGCGTTTATAATTAGTTAGCTAGTAAAGAGAGGGGAAGGAGTCAGCTTAGTCACACTGGTTTCAACTGAATTCAATATCGAGGCATTTTTATAGCAGAATTTTTTTTTTTGCGTAAGATGAGGA